CTGTTCGCTCGTTGAAACTGACACAGAGGGAGGGGGAACTCATAGGGGCACTGGGACATTCACGAGTGTCACCCAGCGGCATGGCCCCGCCCCTTTTTCTCCTCCATTTCGGGCAAATTTTTCACTGACTCGAGTATAAGCCGAGGCGGCTTTTTTCAGCCCAAAAAGTGGGCTGAAAAACTAGGCTTATACTTGAGTATATACAGTATGCTGGTTTTCATGCAAAACTTTAGAACTGGTTTTGCCTATGTGGAATTATCAGTAAAGTTACACTCTTGGTAAAATAATGTCCCAAGAGTTTCTTTTGCCTCATTTACCAATGGGACGGTTGACATTAAGTCAGCTCTCATAATAATAACCTACCTGGATCCCATCAGGTGGTCAACAACCCTGAGATGTTGACAGCAAACAAAGTTTCAAAGGAGGAGAGGAAGCTGGGAGGCTCCGATGCTGCCTCAAGATGGAGCAGGGATGCAGCCAGCCAGCACACCCCACAAACTGGGAGATCTGAGCAACAACCCACGCCCATGAGAGAGAGGGCAAGGGATGCTCCACACCAGGGACCAAAGACCTGCTGGGCGATGAACCCGGGCAAGGCAGCATAGGCCAAAGACCCCTCATCCCTCTGGGGGATGTGGTCCAGGGAGACAAGTGGAAAGTGAGAAGACTGGCTGAGTGGGAGGACCTTGCCAAGTGGAAGCTCCTGATTGCCACCCACAGACTCATAAAGAGGCAGTTTTGGTGGCCAAGAATGAAGAAGGACATCAAACCCAATGTGGCCAGGTGTCCTGTCTGTGCCTCAATGAAGTGGCTGCCCAGCTCTCTGGAAGGAAGTATCCATGGACTTTATTGTAAAGCTGCCAGAAAGTGCTGGGAATACTGTAACCTGGACTATCATGGATTTGTTCTCCAAACAAGCCCACTTTGTAGTGTGCCCTAGGATTCCTTCAGCCCAATCCCTAGCTAAACTATTCATGCAGCACATAACTTTGCTGCACAGTGTCCCAAAGCCATCATTTCACATCAGGGCAATTCACACCAAAGTTTTGGAGTGAATTCCTGAGCCTGATAGGCTCCTCCCAGGGACTTAGCTCTGCCCACCATTCTCAAACAAATTGAGCCTACAAATGTATGAATTCAGTCCTAGAGCAGTACCTTTGATGTTATGGGAACCACCAGTTCAGACCAATTGGACTGAACTGCTACTTTTTGCTGAAGTGGCATATAATAATTAATATGTACTGGGTAAATCCCCTTCAGGTGGCTAACAGAGTTTATGCACGGCCGTCCCAGGCTCCATTTTTGGCCAGGTTGGACTCCTGCAGCCCTCTGCCAGCGAAAGGGGAGCTCGGGAGCCACAGGCACCCCCAATATGATTGACGTCAGGTGGCCACGCCTACCTTGGCCACACACCCTCTTCCCCAGGTAAGACACAACCCTAATGCAGCCCTCAATGAAAGCGAGTTTGATACCCATGGGGTAGGAGAGGAAAAAATATCTTTTGTTGATTTGTTGATTATGGACTTTTTGCATAAAAATGAAAAAAATGAACCTGTGATTTATGATTTTGATTATTAGGATTAGAAAGAAGAAGAAAACAGTGATATACAAATATAAATGGTTGGTAATTTTTTTTTAATATTGGGATTTGTGATTATACAAAGATATACTGTTATCAAATAGATAATCAAGAATGTAAGGGAATTAGGTTTACTGGAAAATAATAATAATAATTGTAATTGAACATATATTGTACAATGAAAGTGAGGTAT